TAGAGACGGAAAATGTGCTACGACACATTGAATTGTATGCTCTGGTCTCTTGCTCATTTAACAAGCAAATACAGTTGATTTTTTTTTATGAATGAAGCCATACGATAATCTGCCAGTGGTTACACAAGCCAGCGTATCAAGGAATCTCACTATACTTTAACTTCCAACATGTCATATACGTAGTGTCAAGACCGTCCTACTACTCTCGTTGTTAACAACTTTCATTTCCCTGGCGTATTGCCCAGTTAGCAATGTGTGAAAATGATTCAACAAAACGCTTATAATACGTCAAAAATCCTAAAAATGATATCGATTCAGTAACATTATTTGGTACAGGCCTATTTTAACAAAGCCGCAATAATTTTCTTGGTATCTGATGAAATACCATCACTACTAACAACATGACCAAGAAATTCTACCTTACGACACAAAAACTTCGATTTACGGAAATTGAGCTTTAATTTCGCGGCACGAATCTGCTCGAAAACACGGCAACTTCTATCCTTCAATTCAGTCAAATTTGAAGCATACACACAGTTGTACAAACATACAACCAGGTCATCTAAGTAGCAAACACAAATTTTATTTTCCAATTCTTTCAACATGAGTCTCATTAGTTAACAAAATCAACAGGGGCAGAAGTCAAACCAAATTAAAGTACATTAAATAGGTACTGCGAAGTAGATGTAACAAAACTTGTCTTGTATTTATCTTTCTCTGCTATGGGAATTTGATAATATCCAGATGTAAAATCTAGACAACAAAAATACTTAGCAACACCAAGGGCATCTAAAACATCATCAATTCTAGGTAGGGGTGTATTGTGCTTTACTGTAATGTCGTTCAAAAATCTATACTCACAACAAGTTCTCAAAGACCCATTTCTCTTTCTTACCGTCACAATAGGGCATAAAAATGAACTTCCACATTCTTGGATTATACCAATATCGAGCAATTCTCGTATTGTCTTTTTATTTCCCCTAAAGGCATGCGGCTCACGCCTTGGAGGTAAACAAATAGGCTCCATGATTGTTAGAATTTCATGCTTGCATGAATTGATTCCATCCAGATCCCATGGGCTACAAGACATGATATCTAAATTCTGTTCAAGAAAAGTATATCATTCCTCCTTCTCCTCAGGAGTTAATATCACATCAACAAATAGTACTTTCGAACGAAAATCTAAAAACTTTTCTTTCAAACTACTAATCTCAGGTGGATTCCTTTTTGTGTTTTAGGTCACGTTAATATTACAACAACTGTGACCTGTATTGTTATCAAAATGAATCCAGTCATTGGGTGAAGCATTAAAAACCTCACCCAAACCTACTACAAGTGTAAATTCACCAAGTAATTGATTTATATTTACTTTCAATTAGAACGGTCTGGGTTCATAATAGAAACCGGTACTTGGGTATCAATAGAATAAGACACAAAATTTGAAACAAGAGCCGACTCCTTTTGCTGCAAAGGAAGTCTATATTCAAAGTAACCAAAAATAGGGGTCGGTACGAAACCACTTGACTTATCAGAAGATACAGATTGAAAATCAGTCTCTTTACTTATCGATTTTAATCGGTAAGTATGTTGATAGGTATTTGTATGTCTGTCTGTCTGTCTGTATGTCTGTATGTATGTCTGTTAGATGCACGCGATATCTCACTAAAGCGAGATTGAATCTGCTCCAGATTTTGCATGTGCATTCATCATATTCCGGATCGGAAGCCTATTGATTTTGGGCAAATTATGTCGTATAATTAGCGAGTTATTATTTAATTAGTGATGGGACACAAGGTGTCACTATGGAGTAAGAGCGCTGTTTTGGAGGATCCCCTAACTTTCGATCGATAAGTCTTCGGTCTCTGACCAATATTCTAGGTTATAATATTGATGCTTATATCTGTGTCATTGTAATCATCACCCATCAGACTTCCCATTAGGAATTGGTCCAATCGACTTATCAATTGACGACACTTTGTAAGTGCGTTCTGGATTTGGGGTAGGTTCACATATCAAATAAACGCAGCTCTGCCTAATCTTAATAATACAGTCATTGTAATCAATAATGCAGGAATATTTATCAAGAAAAACCGTTTCCTAACAATATCTTATCGACATTACCCCAAATGTCTTCTGCTACAAAAACATGTGATAGTCGTTTGGGCTTCCAATACGAATATGTATTTTAGTTCTACCTGAAATATTAATAGGTTCACCTCAATAATATTCAAATCTCTGATTAACGAATTCTATGTCATTACTTTTGCTAGCTTTATCAGCAGAGAGAATAAAATGAAATGGGCACCAGCACAACTGTCTATAATAGTGTTTGCATGCAAACTATCTCCGATCAAAATGTCGGTATAAGCAGGTGTACAAATTTTTCCTCATTCGGTAGAAACATTGGAAAGGGTGTTCGAGACTTTTTTAGCATATTCTTCATATGCTTTAGTTGTCAAGGGTTTTTAAGTTTCATTTACAGGCCGTTCATTTGATTCGATCACTATATTCGAATCTATTACTGGCGTTGGGGACTGGCGTCGTTCACCAACCCATCCGTGTTTAACACAGAGTTAACATCGGATTTGGACTGTCTATCTTCTACCAGTTCAATATTACGATATTTACGTAAAACTTTCTGCAGAGCAAAACATATCTCGTCAGTATGGTTGGACTTACCACATTAACTACAACCACCAAAATAACGGGGTTCTTGTACGCCAAAGAAAGTACCTCGGCCACGTCCTCGGCTACATGAGCAACGACCACCATGTAGATCATTTTGTTTTCTGCGATAGTTTTGGCGGCTGGAATCGCCATTACGACTACCTCTACATCTTGACTTTGAGTCTATGTTATTAGTTTGGGAGTTTTGTTGTCTCTTTAGATCCACATAACCAGGTGTATCTTCATCGGTCTCAGCTGCTCAATCCGTTAAACATTTAACATACAATATGGGCCGAACCATTTTTAGAAACTTTTGAGCCCTATAGGGTTTCTAATTCCATTTATTATTGCTGACATAATAAACGCTCTGTAGCTGGTGATTATCAATAGGCCAAGTAAGCCAGAGGTTGAGATCTCGGACAAAAGCATTGTAACTCTTGCCTACATGCTGTAAGCAATCTCTAAATTTCTGGTCGGGGTTACTTTCCCGAGCCACACTACAAAACTGTATCAAGTATTGCAAAATAACATTAGAATTAAATCTATATTGTACCGGAATCATAGTTTTTAAATGGCATTTGCATTAATAAAACTATATAAACAAATTGCATTCGCAGGGGTCATCCCTAGCTCTGACATAGGACATACTTGAATTGAACAAGAATGCAAAATTGTTCGGGTCATCCCCATCAGGAAAAACTTCGATACTACGGTTAAGCACTTGATGCTGAATGAGTCATATCGCCTAATTCATGCGGAATATCAGAACTAGGTCCTTCACGGTCTGCCGGTACAAACTGTAAAAATGGTTGTTAAAATCGGCTGTTGGGGAACGGGCTGTTGGAACCCCTGGTAAAATGGATTTTGCGAAGAAACCATAGGAGGGTTACTAGGGAAATAGGAAGAATTATTCAGACAATACATTTAATACGAAATATTTCCATAAAACACATTTGGTGGTTGACTACTAAGATAAACAACATCAGCCAAGGACGTCGAATTAACGGGTTTAGAAAGGGTCGTAACGATTGTGATATTGTTTCTTCTAACACTTGGTGTTGTTACGCCTGTAGCAAAACCAGAAAAAGTAACAAAAGTATTAGACATACTTGATGCAATAATTTCTTCTTCTGAAGTCGCACCAGAAGTTGACGGAATACCTTTATCTTTTAATTGACTCATTATTTAACGCGGAATTCTTATTTAGATGTGTCGATGCGGAGTGGCAGTTCTTGAAGTACTCGAAATATAATCAGAGCGAAGCAGTCCTTAGCTTTGACGCTACCGGTACCGGTACCTACGGTGCTGTTAGCCATTCCCCAATAACAAATCTTAACAAAGCAAGAATTTCGTTATACACCACCGACGTTCAATGATAACGTGATCAAAAGAACAACAAGAAGAGTACCACCAAAAAAAAACAATTCCTTATTTGTCAAAATAAACAAATCCTACAGTGCTATCAGGAATATTTGAAATAAATGAAAGTAATAGCCTTCTATGGAAACATTTTAGCTTTAACCACTGAAAATTTCAGAGCAATTGGACCAGTAATCAAAGAGAAAACGGACTTGTCCATAAGTGTCAAAGAACTGCAACAACAACATAATCTTAAAACGATCCTTATGTCCACTAACGTGTCCAACAATTGCCAATTTGAATAAATTTTATTGTATGATAAATGGTAACTACAACATCCAACATACATAACATCCAATTAGATAAAGGCTGACTATAATTTTTTTTTTATAATTCGAAAAAAAATATCATTTGATTACAAAGACTTTATACTAGGGTGAAACTTTTTGGACACCCTGTATGCGGTGACTATACTATATATATGCAAACACTAGTTTGTGAATAGTTCTTCTGTCCCAAGTTGCGCGTTTTAGATAACTCTGAATGAATATACCTGGCTGTATGTTAGGTGGCCTGTTGTTGGTTACACAGAGAGTAACTAGAATAACAACGACTGCGGTAGCGCTCTAACCACAACTGTACCCTAAATATCATAAAGGAAATAAAAACGGTCAACAACCCGGGTTGGTAAGACCGCCAATATTAATCCATTCACGCCCCTGTATACATGGGACCTCCAGAAGGATGCGCATTAAGATGGCGCACAACCTGAACATAGTATGTGTGTACCGGTTAGGATTCAGGTTGTGCGACATCTTGGTGCGAATACTTCTGGAACACCGCATAAATGCATAGCTAAGTATTATTGAACGAGAACACATGACCACACAAACAACGTAATATTCTAGATTCTGGAATTTGAAATTTACGAATAAAGATCAATTCCAAAAACATAATGATAACAGTACTTGCATTTAAATTACATTTTTTATTCTGTGTATATATTCATAATTAAGGCACTATGCACTACGTATACTACATACAGGGTGTCCAAATACACGAAATCCATTTATTACTAGAACAAAAGACGTTGAAAAGGTTATCATTTTCTGTGGCTCATATAATAACAATTGAGTACTGAAAGTTTGGAGCCTTTAGATAGATTTTAAAGTTTATTTAAACGCATTTTTTGCAATTTTGTGGGTTTCATTTATTTTAAGACACTCCGTATATAAAGCTATTACATAATTGTTTCTTTCTAAAAACATCAATATGATACAACTATCAAACAATCACATTTATCAGTAACAGCAGTGCAGTCAATTCTATTGAATAAAATAGTAAATTAAAACATCACAATTCAATGAATTCTTGACAAATTATCAATTTATACACCATTAATATTTCTTGATTATTAATATGCTCACAGCTGTGCTTAGTCGACTTGCATCTCTTCAGTTGGCACATTCATTAGCAACGTAGCCATGTAATTCCATTTACTCATTTCTCCAATCCAATCTGTAACCTTCCACACCGTCGCACCTTGGTCCTCTACATCTGCTTCTCCACGGATGTCTTGTATATCAGCTTGCTCAACGCTGCTGTTACTGTAATGTATAATTATTGCTGCATTTAGATGATTTTTTTAAGGTTTGTCTGAGAATTAACTTGTTTTCAAAAAAGTGTACCCAAGTAAAATATTTTATATAAACGATTCCACGTTGATAACAAACTTACTTGTCTTTATTGCCTCCCACGGCATATATTTTGTCATCAAAGACACAAACCCGAAATTTTATTCTTGGTGACGTCATTCTTCTTCTTGCCAGTACCCATTCCTCGCCGTTTAGGTCAAAAAACTCCAAAGAAGCAAGATAAAGCCAACTGTTATAATCATCAGGTAATCGGGGATTGTCTTCATCCTCAACCCCGCCACCACCTTAAAACATTAGTTAGAGCCATGATTTGGCGTAAATTCATGTTTGTCGAATGGCAAAGAGAAATAAAAAGAAAGATAAATTATTCACGTACCCAGCACGTATATTTTTCCATTATAACTGGCAACTGCAGGAGCAATTCTCGACTTTTTCATTCGAGGCATAGGGCTCCATTCGTCCGATTCCTTATCGTATTTTTCCACGAGAGATAGAGCAATTTCGTATGTTTTTTTTTTTTTTGTTTTTTTTTCGCCCAATACCACCGATGCTGTATATGTGCCCTGTAACATCATTACATATACTTTTTGTTCATTTATTCAAGATCTATTATTATGGATCGTAAGATAAAAATGTATTTACGATTGCTTATATGCCAAATATTTGCTCTTCTAAATTACCAATTTATTTCATATGTATAGCTGTGAACAGTTATTTTGATGACATTTTACCACCTGAATAAAGATCAATGAACTGTATTCAAATGGATATACTCACCATTGGCTTCCACCATTGCGTTGAGTCTTTTTTCGCAATGCATATTTTTAATTTTTTCCCATTGTCCCACAGCTGGATTATATTTTTCACATAATTTTGTCACTTTAGAAAGTTCTTCATCCGTCTTCCTGTAAACTTCAGCTCGTTCAAATCCTCCGCCGCATACATAAATGAAACCTGTTAAGAAATATGTGCTTTAATGTCACTGTAAAGTGAAAGGTTAGTGAGATGAACGATAAACTATTTTAAGTGGTTTCAATAGCAAAATTATAGTTTGCCAACAAGTTGGCAAGAGTTTCAAAGGCTGGAATACGTAATTTCAATTTTAAGTTTCATGACGTACCATCCAAAGTTACTGCCGGTGGTTCAGCTCCATGAAACTCTTTTGGTCCTTTCGAATATTCCCAAGTGGGATTTTCATCAAATGGTTTTAAAGTTTTCTTTGCCATTGTATCACATAGACTGCAGACTCAACGACAACAGCACTGTAAGTGTCTATCGATCTGAATAATATCGCTTGGTCCCGTAGTTTCTGAAAAATAAATTTTGCATCTATTAGATAATAAAAAATCGAAAAAGTCTTCCGCGCCATTGTATCACATAGACAGCGGAATCAATGGTCACAGCACTAAACGTATGTGTGTCGATCTGTATACTGCTTCTGGATGTAATTCCTGGAAAAGAAATATGACATCTATAATTGAAGATGACTCGAGAGAAAGGATGATATAAGTTTCATGATGGCTTATACTTTTGTGGGCATTAAATATATCTCTTGTTTCAATTGGTCCACAGTGTTCTAGGTGGTTTTCAAGTATTGAAAGAATTTAGAGAGTAAGAGAGCTGACAAGGAGATTATTTGAGGAATAATATCGAAATGATGATAAAAAAAACCATAAGAAATTTGTAATTTATCATTTTCGGGTCCAGCATACCTCCAGTTCAACTATCTCCCCTTCATGCATTGGTCTTATCGCCTTCATTTTGTCATTTTCGTTGTAGTTATCAAACACGATAAGCACTGAACGAATATTTAACAAGTTCAAATTTAGAGAATTAATGATAAGAAAGCCCGTCTCATTTTAATTTATTAATTTATATTTCATTTTGTATTTACTAAAAAATGAATTTTTTTTAATTTTTTAAATAAAAATGTTCATTCCACTAAAATATCAATTTTAGAAATGCGCGAGTTCAATAGAAAATACATTTTGAGTCGATACTATTTTAACATTTCATTTTTGCCAATTCTCAAAGTAGTTCAGTATTAGGGGAACTTGGATATTGTGTATTGAACTGCAGGTCCTCTTTCCTTGTTTACTTTCTACTTCGGATCCGTATGTGGTACTCGCCACAAGGATACCTGAACGAGATAGGATAAGTAAGGAGAAAGTAACAATGAGAAAGGACCTGCAGTTCAATACACAATATCCAAGTAAGAGATCGTGTTATTTTTACTTATTAGTTCAGTAATATTAAACTAGGCAGAAGCATGATATAGGCTACCTTTTTCGCCAGACTCGAAAGCAACATTTGCGGTCGCCATATCTGGTCAATAAATTATTCCAAGTGCTGTGTTGTATTTGTTGTCTTAATTTATCCGGTAGTCAGGATTTTATAACTATGGTATTATTATACAGTATATCTGAAACAGAAACTTGCCTGTATTAGTCTGTGACGTGCTGGAGTGCATTTTATAACTTGGTGATTTGCTATATTACAAGGCTACGAAATAGTATCTATTGGAGTGAGAACTATTCAGACCATGGACGCTAACGGTTTATAACGCGGTTGCGGCCCTGATCAACCGTAAGCTATATATGGTTGACAAAATTGAATCACTTCAACGTTTGTCCACTCCACAGTAACCGTTGTGCGGAACATTATTTTGCAATCAATATTTGTGCTGCATACCGGATAACGAATGCACCATCTTATATTTCTTTGAAGTGTGTTTAATATTTGTTCCGAACGGAATGCGAAGCCCCTTTACGATTTCAATTTTGTTTTTAAGGCATTTCTCAATATATATTTCAACCAGGTTTGTTGTATTTTAATCAGTAATTGTTTTGGTATTTTACTTCATTTAATACATATGTGAGGGCCAAAACAATATATGGTATCGATAAATTCCCTGTGCAATTTTAAAAAAATTTAAGACTTTGTGGACACCATGTTTATAATGATAAAAAAATGAATTCCAGCTTAAAACATGTTTAAATTAATTCCAGAAATGGCGAATCCGATGTATAATTCCAGATAACTTATATTTGTTATCCTGCACCTGGTATAATATCTCATTTTTAGGTTCTGTATATTTGGAATTTTACTCGAATCAAAATAATTTTGCACCATTACATTTAGTTCCTCCCGAGTCAAAAACTGTTTTTTTTTTACTTTCACAACAAATTATATTTTAGAATTTGGGTCTGTACTCAGCAACATTTATCGGATTAGACAAATTGAGTTATCGATATATCCTCAATTCCAGTGCTCTCAAAATTTGTGACATACTTTAATTAACCTCATATTTCTTGACTAGACAAATGTTTTTCTTAGTCTCAAGCGCCGTTATGTCTACTTTAAACCCGAGGTAAAGCAGTTTACTGGCCGGATAACAAAAATTGGTAATCGAGAAATATACTTCGGGTCGTTTAATCTAATTTGAACTGATATTAAGGAAGTATTGAGCTAGAAAAAACATGTATGGTTGGACCTTGACACACGAACGGCACTAAGATCGGGCTTTAGAGCAATATCTAAATTTTATGATTGACTATTTCTGTGATAACATTTAAATTCTAAGATTGCCCTGGTTTGGTTTGAACACATTCATATGATTAATTCAATTCTGTCTACCAACACACTCTCAATAGATGGCACATTTCCTGTCTCTGTTATATAGTTTACATATAATAAAACCAACTGCTAGAAGATATATTCATATGAGTAATTACATTCTGTCTACCAACACACATCCAGTCGGTGACACATTTCCTGTCTCTATTAACCACGGTGATTTTCAATATTGCGATTTTCCTATTCGCTCATCAATGCCAACAGCTATAGAGAGATTATATTCATTGACGTGATGAAATATAGTCAACCAATATGGGTTTCATCTTTCCTCCATACCTGCTCATGCACTGCAAAGCAGTAACCGTTCTACTGCAGTTCTTACCGCTTGCTTCCATGACTGAACTAGACTTTAATTGATGCAATTTTGTGAACTTACAACAGGGGTCTCCAACTCAAAACATGTCGCGGGCCACTTTTTGAAATTTATTGTCCACGCTGGCCCAAATCAATTAGGTACACAAATGGGTATCTGAATGTCTTGTGTTGAAATTATACTTGAATCTTACAGCAAACGAGACATGCAACATATTCATTTACTTGTGCTGGATATTTGGATTCGTGACAAAATCTTGTGGAAAATTTGATCCACATGTGAGGCCTGTGGGGCAATGGAACAAATTTAAAGATATGAATCATAAAAAAGGCTCAACGCAATGCTGGACGCCAATGGTGAGTATATCCATTTAAATACAGTTCATTGATCTTTATTCAGGTGGTAAAATGTCACCAAAATAACACTTCATAGTTATACATGTAAAATGAATAGCTAATTCAGAAAAGCAAATAATTGACACAAAATTGGAGCAATTGCAAATACGTGTCCTGTAGCGATCTATAATAAAAGCTCTTGAATAAATGAACAAAAAGTATTTTACTGTTACAAGCTACCTATTTAGCAGCGGAGGTATTGGACGACAAAACGAATTTGATGATACAAAGATGAATATCAAACAAGAAAATACTCCACTTGGTGGAACACATGAGATTGCTTTCTCCCGAAAAGGTATGATAAAGAATCGGATGAATGGAGCCCTATGCCTCTAATAAAAAAAAGTCGAGAATTGCCCCTGCAGTTGCCAGTTATAATGGAAAAATATACATGCTGGGTACGTGGATAATTTATCTTCCTTTTTATTTCTCTTTACCATTCGACAAACATGAATTTAAGGTATAATGGCATCATGTTTTAAGGTGGTGGTGCTGGTGGTGTTGAAGATAGGACAATCCCCGATTATCTGATGATTATAACAGTTGGCTTTATCTTGCTTCATTGGAATTTCTTGACCTAAACAGCAATGAATGGGTACTGGCAAAAGAAGGAATGACGTCATCAAGAATAAAATTTCGGGTGTGTGTGTTTGATGACAAAATATATGCCGTGGGAGGGAATAAAGACAAGTAAGTTTAATAACGACGTAGAATCTTCTAAACTAAATATTTTAATTGAGTAGACCTTTATGAAAAACAAGTTAATTCTCAGAAAACCTCAAAAAAATATATCTGCTAAACGAAGTGAATAATTATACATAACAGTAAAAACAACGTTGAGCAAGCTGATAAACAATAAATCCGTGGAGAAGCAGATGTAGAGGACCAAGGTGCGAAGGTGTGGAAGGTTACAGATTGGATTGGAGAAATGAGTAAATGGAATCACATGGCTACGTTGCTAATGAATGTGCCAACTGAAAAGATGTAAGTTGACTAAGGAATATCTGCGAGCCTATTATAATCAAGAAATATTTATGATATATAAAATGATAATTAGTCAAGTACGATTGATATTTAAATTGTAATGTTTTTATTTACTATTTTATTCAGTAGAATTGACTGCACTGCTGTTACTGATAAATGTGATTGTTCAATTGTTTAATATTACCGTGCATTATGTGTGTTGTATCATATTGATCTTTTCAAAAAGAAACAATTATGTAATAGCTTTATACAGGATATCTTAAAATAAATGAAACCCGCAAAATTGCAAAAAATGCACCCCAAAATCTAGCTAAAGGCCCCAAACTTTTAGTCCGGAATTGTTATTTTATGAGCTCACAGAAAATGATAACCTTTTTAACGTCTTTTGTTTTAGTAATAAATGGATTTCATTTATTTTGAAACGCTTTGCATGTAGTATACATAGTGTATAGTGTCCTAATTATGAATATATACACAGAATAAAAAAAAGTAGTTTGAATGCAAGCACTGCTATCATTATATTTTTGGAATTGATCTTTCTCCGTAAATTTGGAATTACAGAATCTGGAATATGACACTGTTTGTGTGGTCCTGTGTTCTCGCTCAATAATACCTAGCTTTGCATTTATTTATAGAGCGGCGTGAATAGAATAATATTGACGCCTGACGGTCTTACCAATCAGGGTGTGTCCCGGTATACAAACATGTAATCTTAGCGATTGTATAAGAATAGTTACTAGGGGTTTCAATACTTCTAACCGATTATTGCTAACAGTGCATGTTCTTTGCTTAAAACAAAGTTGTTGCTCGATTTCATTTCCTTTATGATATTAAGGGTGCAGTTGTGGTTTAAGCGCTACCGTAGTAAATGTTTTTGTAG